AAAAAAAAAAAAAAAGATAGTGGGAGGGCAGTAAATAAGTATCTGAGAGGGCCTCTGTTCTTATTCTGCACCTTTCCTTCTCCTTCCTAAATGCTATTACAAAGGGAATACACAGGGACCATATGTGGACGAGGTGGTAGACCAAGGAAAGATCTGTTTCTAAAATTGTCCCCTTGTGTATATGATTATTGCTGTGGAACATACTTGTGGCAAGACAGTCATTAACCCCTATAAATGGAGATAACCAAGTGATATAAGGCACCATACTCATCTGCTACACACGACAAAGTCTGTTTTGATTTCACATGTTTAAGATTTGAGATCACTAAACCAGGAATTCCCCATACAAATCTTAGACTCATTTCTATTATTGCTGAGCTATAAAACAGATTTACTTCACAATTATCACTACTGAAAACTTCTTAAAGGACAAAAATGGAAAATACCTCCCCAAGTAAACTAGTAAGAGGGCTTCCCTTGTAGCCTAGGGGTTAAGTCTCAGTGCTATCACCACCAGGTCTTAGCTCGATTCCCACTAAGGGAGGTGACCCACATAGCACAGCAGACCTCTCCTGTTTCATTCGCTGCTCCCCCTTAGTAGAGTATTATCATTAAGTCTGCCTGCTCTGTTCTCCATTCTAATCTCTGGTGAATCCTCTACCCAACTCCCCACTTCTTTTATGCATAAATAAACCCTTAAATAAACAAACAAACAAACTAGTAGGAAATACTTAACCTTCACAGTGCCATCAGAAGAGGCACTAATAATATAATGTCCATCTTGTGTAAATGTTGCTTCATTAACAAAAGAGGAATGGCCGCGAAATTCCTTCAAGGTTTTCCCAGATTTTAAACCATGAATTCTATCATAAATGAAAGCAAATTAGAAGAACAATTAATATTCTATATGTTATGGCTGTGCCCAATCATAAATATATTTTGGATGAATTGCAGCAGCTCATGTTACAGTATCTAGTAAAGAAAAATGGCTATGAAACTATTTATGCAGTATAATTTTCATCCTACCAAATAAAAGTTCTACATAGAATGAGAGAGGGAGAAAATACGCCAATAATACACAAGCTTCTATTCAGGTCTTAGCTGTCCCAGTAGCGTGTTTGTAAAATGCTTCTTGAAGTGATTCTGATGCAGGAAGGTCCCTATATCCCATTTGGAGAAACATGAAACACTGATATAATTGCTTCCTAATCTCTAAGTAAAGACTCAAATGGACCAAGCAACTATATGGTCTATTGTAATTTGGGGGAATGGGGTCTCTCCTACCCTCACTTTCCATAAACAGTGTTCCAGTGAAACACGAGGAATCCCAGCACCTCCCTTTGGGGTTATCATGGCAAACTCAAATGAGGGCAGTTTGGGGGTTCTTACTTACCTAATTGTCTGGTCAAAAGAAGCACTAAGGATCTGACTGCTATCCTTTGAAAAACTTAGACAAGTGACACCTTTACTGTGAGCTCTTTCAAACCTCCTCAAACACTGTCCACTCTGAATCTTCCAAACCTTTATTAAAAAAATAATAAAAACTTGTAAATAGTGTTCCACTTTAGCCCACAGAGCCAAACAAGATGTAGTGCTCGCTAATGTACTAAAAAAGCATTAAATATGCATGCTAATAGCTGAATATGATATGTCTGGTTCACATAGTACGATGAGAACTGAATCCTCTGAAACTTAAAACTCTTTCCTTATAAATTATTAAAGGAAAAATTTAGACTCTAAGTTCACTTAGCAGAGACCATTTCTATATTTTATCCAACCCAGGGCATTTATCATCAATTAAATACAAGTCACAGCTAATAAGTAGAACATCCCCTACAAAAACCAAAGAAACCAAAAATACATCACATCATACAGGCGAGCACTACAGAAAGAACATGACTAGATCTGAACTGAACTCCCAGATCTATCACTTTTCAATTCAACTGTATCACTAAGTAAATTATGAGAAATTCTTAGGCCGTTACCAAGAAAAGGTTAAGCAGTTAGTATAAAGTTGAAGTTTAATAAACACCTATTTAACTGACCAGTTTGAGAGGACATGACCTCATTACAGTGTCTAACACAAGCCACTAAGCCACACCTTGATTTTTCCATCTTGGGCCCCAGTTGCTAACATCTCTGTGTCTCTGCTGAAACACATGCAAAGAACAGCATCGTCCATCATCATGAAGTTATCCTGCGCCTGGTACTTAAGATCCTAGAGCAAACAGTGATAAGCAGTTAGCAAAATAATATAAAGGCCAAGGCCAAAGTCTTTACAAACTCACTAAAAGCTGTATAATAGCTATAACTATTCTTAATCTCAAAGCAAATAGTGGTGCCATGTACACATTCATATTGAACAACTGATAATGCTGGGAATAGAGAATTTTACACAATTTAATACTGTAAAATGTCAGCATAATATCCTGTATCTTTCATATTCTGCTGTTTTCTAGGCAAAGATTTTCCCAGTTTCATACAGAACATCTTAATAATCTATCTGAATTTGTTGATTTTAGGGATATGACATGAAAAGCTTATGTTTTTCCCAAACTGTCAGCTACTTTTCCTAAAACCATATATTGACTAATCTATTTGCAAACTAGCTTTATTTTCTTATTTATAAAGTAAGAGTGATTCATGGGTTTATTTTTTTTAAAGCAAACTATAAAGAAATACATAAAATAGAAAGTGAAACCAACTAATATATCTACTACCCATGGAGTGGGATTTAGTACTCCTAGGAAAAAGATTATATTTCAAATCAATAGGTAAACAAAAAAAAATATGGAGGGGAAGGAGGGGTTAAGCTGGCTCTATACCAACACTATCTCCCTAAAGAACTTTCAGATGGATTAAAAATTAAAATATATGGAGACAAAACTAGCAGGCAACTATAAATCGGAGACATACAACTGCGGTAGGGAGGGAAAAGGATCAACAGGGGAGAGAAAAGCACAAAGGATTATGGTAACGGTTCATAGGTGACTTGGTTATGGACATTTTATGGGAATTAAACTTGAGAGGAAAAACCAAACTTTATGTAAAACTGAACAATGATGTAATATATATATTTAAAGAAATATATTTAATTTAAAAATAATAAAAAACATACATATACTAGAAGATATGGCAAAAAAGGAATAAGACATATTTGTTTTTAAAGCAAAAAAAGAGACAAAATAGAAAATGTTTGCAATACATATTTTATGGAAGTTGATTTCTTCAAATCAAAAGCTACAACTCAGTAAGAAACAATTCAAAAGAAAAATGAGCAAAAGATATGAACAGACTTCTCAGAATAGGAAAATCTGGTGGCTTTTCATTATAAAAAAGATATTCAACTTCATTTACAATGAAAGAAACACAATTATAATAAAGTTAGGTTGGAAACAACAACTATTGATTTACACATAGACTATTCCAGGAAGGTTACATAAAAACCTGGTAACCCTGACTGGATTAAGGAAGGGAACCAACCATGTAAGGGACAAAGGTGGGAGACATAATATTTTGTAAAATATTCTACCAGATGAACATATTCCCATTTAAAAATAAATTTAAATTGCAAAAGTGACAATAAAAAAACAATAAAAGACAATTCTCCAACTAGAAAAGTTAACATATTTTAAATACTTTACCTTCCTAATTTTTCCAGTCGTAAAGTTCCATACTTCAATGAATCCATCAACAGACCCAGTGACTAAGTACTGACCATCTGGAGAAAATCGAGCACACTCCACATGTGATTTCTGACCAAACTGTTTCAAATGAAACAATGGAATAGATATTATGTTTATTTACTGGGCTTTAAGAAAATACTCATTTTAATCTTTTGACAAGGCCTGCCTTAGAATAAAATCACAGTTAGCCCATATTGTGAATATTGGAGGAGCATTTCTATACCGGTACACAGAGATGGAAGCCATTATGTCCTCTGATGAGTTTTATGTCTAAGCTTTCAGTTGAAACTAGTTTTTTTAATATGAAAGTGACATTACCAAAGAAAAGCCAAAAAAATTTTAACATGGGACTTAGAATAATTTTTAAATTAAATCATGTTAAGTTTTTATTAGAATCAGCTACTGTTAACATGACTTCCACTTTCAATACAGTATTATACATTCCTGCTGTGCACCTGGGCAAAAAATTTCCCTTTTCTCAAAATAAGATATTTGTTTTTCCTATACTAATTTTTTTCCATCACTGTTTTTCCCCCCAGGACTTTCATTTAATCAATGACTGACTTAATACAGAAATAATTAAAGCTGTTACACTGTTCAATTAGTAAATATATTCTGAGCATTTGCCAGCAATGAAGCTCCCAGTTACAGATAACAAAAGAACAGTAGATAGATGAGGACAGAGAAATGAGTTATTATTATGGGCTTCTATTTGTCTCAATGCTTCAACTAAGGTAAATAAGGGGGCTGCTCAAAAGTATCTTTACCTGTTAAGTCAGAACACAAAATCCAAAAAGACATTCAAAACACTAAATCAAAGTCAAAAAGATTTGAAGAACATGAATTATTTTCAAGCCCATATATTCAATTAGAACCAAACCCACAGCTATAATAAAGGAGATGCTAAAATAGCAAATATTAATAATTCTGACAAACTGCTGCAATTACTTGCTGGTGCTTTTCTTTAGAAAAGTACAAGATTTAGGACCTTCCCTGGTGGTGCAATGGTTTTTTTGTTAAAGCGCATTACTACTTTAACATGAGTTCAACCCCCGCCCAGGGAAGTGACCCATATGGCGCAAACCAATCTTGTCCCACCCACTGTTCCCCTCAGCAGTGTACTTCGTCAACCTGACTATTCTGCTCCCCACTTTGTCTCTGGGGAAGCCTCTTCACTGACCCTGGTCCTGTACCCCAGTTTTGTATGTATAAATAAATAAATCTTTAATAAAAGTACAAGATTTTAAAACAAAAAAGCAAGAACCAGTCTTCAATTGCTAAAACTATTTTCCTTAAATCCCACATAAGCACATTTTACAATCTGTGCTTGGTACCAAACCTGACATGCAGCAGGCAAAAAAATGTGTTGAACAGGACAAACACAAAGCTCACAGCCCCAGGCTCAACCACTGTTACACAGTCTTCCAAACACAGGCTTCCCAGGAGGAAGTACTTGGGTGAACAATGGGCTAGATGCCAAATACCTGTCTACCTGGGTTTACAGCTGATGTATGCCACTGCCAGGCCACAGGAGTCAAACCCAGTGGTTACCAGTGGCAACCCGAACGCTGTCAGCACTGGAGAATGAGTTCTGCTCTCCAACCCACACTCTTGACATTAGGTTCTGACTGAACAAGCATAATACTGACCAGGCGAATATCTAAGGAGCCTACCTTAATATGCCTGCTCAACTGTGTAGGAAACTTTTCTTCTTCCACATCTTTGACAGCTGCTTTACCTCGGAACAAATCTATAGTCATGCCAGGAGGAAGCAACCCCTGGTGCTGCTGCCATTTCAGTGCCTATGAGAAAAGAAATGTACAGTGATCTATTTGAGTGCATTTAAGATCTGCTCCTGACTGTTCAAAAGGATGAGGTTCACAGGAAACTAAGCTATGCAGACTCCACCATTTCTGGCCATCTAAAGGATGCAGAATTTGTCGCTTCTGTGTATTCTAGCAACACAGGCTGACCCCAGCATGGAAGGGATCACTGAAACCAGGACCATACTGTATTCTTAGAAGTGTAAGTATTTTATTATAAATAAAACTTAGAGAACAAATCTCCCATAGTTCTGATATCCAAGCATAGTCATTCTAACATTTTATATATTGTCTTCTAGAATATGTCCCTTACATATATTTAGTTATTATACTTAAAATCTTTAACATTAATTTTATTTGCTTCCAAAATTTGTTACTTGTTTTTCAGATTTTACTGCAATGACCAGAGAACATGCATCTCCTCAGGACCTCTCTCCAATCAGTGTGAAATCTCTATTGGCTGTTTACCTGTAGTTTCAAATCACTCCCATAAAAAAAAAAAAAATCCTCCCTCTTTAGTTAATACTAACCCCCCCACGTCCACCCCCTCACGGCCACTGCCTTTCTTTAACAAACAAGCTCTGTGACCTGGCAACACTCACTGTCTTCCCTTCTCAGTTAATATGGTCTTAACTTACTTCCTTTCTACTGGAAGTGCATCTCAGATATCCCAACAGCCAAAACCAGACTGCTTTCTGATCTAATCTTCTTATACTATGTTGCTCTGAGGTTGATGAACACATCTTTTTTTTAATATTTGAAGAACAGGTTTATTTGAAAAGGGACAGGAAAAAAAAAAAAAAAGACACTTGCATAGGCACAAGTGGGCAGAAGAGCTGCCCCAAAAGGGACAGCTTTGCTGAGAGAGACCTGCCTGGTCACAGGCAGGTGGTCTTAGGAAAGCCGCCTCTGCTGAGGGAGGTCAGTGCAGAGAAGTCCCGCCATGGTGCAGGTCATGGGCAGGCAGGAGGCTGCTGCCCTACAGAGGGAGAGAGCGGATAGAAAGAACCTGCACAGTCACAGGTGGACAGAGGACTGCTGTCTAAACACATCTTAACACTCTCTTGGCTTTTCTAACCTTGTTCTCTTGACTTCCCTTTTTGTTTCTCTGGCCAATCCTTTCTCTGTCCCCGGTTGACTTTAAGTGTTTCCTATAACGTCTCATCAAGTATTTATGAAGGAACGCTGAATTTATTTCTACTCTCTCTAGATATTCTATTACAGTGGCAACAAAGGAATAAAAAAGGGTGCACACCCCAAAAGATAAATAGAATGGAAGGCATAATTGCTGAAAAGAAGGAAAAAGTAAAACCTATATGTAAGGAGGCGATGAGAAAGCCACAAGAAGTGAGCCAAACTACCTTGCAAATTCCAAAAAAGGCTGCAAAAACTGGAGACACCATACAATGCTCAAGGACAATCATGGCCAAGAGACAAAGATAAAAACTGTATGAAGAGTAGTTAGTTCCCAGCACCTCTCTCAACCAAACCTCAAGAGAAATCATGTGGTTTATTTTCTATGATAGAAAGGGAGTGATTCTGGACTCAGGGAAACAAGGTAAAACTGATGGGAGACCTTTAGTGAGATGTCACCGTGAAACAGAGCCAGAGCAAACTGGTAACGCTATACAGATTTCTCTAATCTCCACTTACACCAGTTTAAACTATGTCCTCTAACAACAGGACATAGTTTAAACCTCCCAAGCAGGAAACTAGGAAACTAATCTGGAGTGGCTTACTAGTCCAAAAGAATCCATCTCAGATATTAACACGTGAAGATCCACACTCAGTCATTTCAGGTCAAATCCTTTCAAGTTCCCAAACTCTTCCTTCCTCAACCCCAGTTTCTAAACAGCTTTTCAGTGTTTCATTAAATATGTATCAACAGGCAGGGGCCGCTAAATATCTGAAGAAACTTTCAAAACACAGGCACCAAGGTGAACAGGCAAAAAGTGAAGGGGGAAAAAAAACAAAGAACACACACACAAAAAGACAATGCAGGGAGGAAAATATAACTTGAATATGCTGTGCAGTGTGCACAGTGGGCATCACAGAATAGGCAGCTATTATTTAGCAGATGGGAGGGTGAGGGTCTGGGGCTTGCTGCAGACCTCGGGGAAGGCTCACCTACAGTCACCCACCTTGTTGCTTTTGTAGGTACCACTCTCCCTGCCCACCTGATGCACCATGCCACTATGGCACCAATTTCTGTCAGACATCTGGGTACTGATCTGAGCAGCATCACCCTTTATACCAGAAAGCTGGTAGGCACTTCGGGGAAAAAACAACCCAAGAAGAAAATGGAGATGTTAGAAGATGCACATGTGGTGGAAAAAGCTCTTGACTACTGGGTGGTAACGGACAAAGTAGAACCTCCTAAGTGGAAAGGGTTCTCAGATGAAGACAACATGATAAGGCCAATAAGCTGCGACCTTACTGCTGAGTTTCTAAAGCACAGCAAACAGCACATGAGAGAAAAGAGAGGGAGGCAAGTACAAAGTTGGCTCTGGTTCTGAAGACAAGGGAGAGAGCATACCAGTGAAAAGGAAAGAGTCAGAAAAACCACGAGGCTTATGCCCAGGTGATTGGAGCTACTGACTCCAGTGGAGAATTCATGCTTCGTGAAATGGAAAATTCTGATGAGGCTGACCTGGTCCCCATTAAGGAAATCAAAGTCAAAGTCAAGC